TTAAGCAACAAACAAACCAAACCAAACCAACGATTGTATGCTTTAAGCCTGAGGACGTTCAGTGTTTTGTTTGAAGCATTGAGTGATGTACTGTTAGTTAAACTATTCCATTTTGACATCTGCAACCATCGAATCAATCCAGCATATCATCTCTTAACATCTGTGGTGTGTTCGTCAATCCTGTAAAATTCATAAAAAGTCCTGTTTGTGCACAATATGTAGCTTTGATTAACAGCTGTTAGCACGTCTGGCAGTGTATTAGGTTTGTGTTTTTTCACTTCATCAGGTACATTGTACTTTAAGTATGCAAATGTAGTACCCGTGTCGCTGTGGACAGAGAACATATGTGTCGAGGACACAGACATGAAATGTAGTGACACAGACATGACATATAGCGACACACAGGTGACAGTGACTTTATATATTGGAGTATGCATTGGCTCTTAGTTGGCCGTTGGCCCCCGTGAAGATCCGGGTGAGGATTGGTCTTCAGCAGCCCATGCTTGGCGTACGAGCCGACTAACTGGATCAATTGGTCAGGTTCGCTGAATTGGTTGATGATCGATGCTTATGATGTCAATCACTGGATTGTGTGGACCGGGTTCGATTATTTACAGACCGCCGTCACATAGCCTGAATATTGTTCATTCCAAACGACACTTCGTGCTTTCTTCCCACATTAATCTGATATAACTGTACGGCGGTAAACCTGACTCACTCAATCGCTTTTTCAAAAACTTTCTCTTAAGCGAACCCTGTCTTTTGATCAATTTATCAATATCTTCAGGAACTTGACAACAAAGGTGGATACATCTCTCTCTCTCTCTCTCTCTCTCTCTCTCTCTCTCTCTCTCTCTCTCTCTGCATAAAGTGAGAAGTTCATGTACACATATATCATTTATTACGACTAACAAAATACTAAATCTGTTAAGGCCCGTGGGCGTGACACAGTCTCAAGACTCCCTAAGCCGGACGTTGTCACAGTTAAGTTTGTGGTAATGTGTCCTGTCGCACTAAACACGTCACAAACAAACAACCCCGACTACTCCCGAACGTGACACCTCAACCCGGGACAATGTCCGACCCAGAGGACCCGTACATGCTTGACAGTATCATGGCGACACAGGTGACCCCGGGACAATATCCGACAGTATTAAGACGACCCAGAGGACCCGTACATGCTTGACAGTATCACGGCGACACAGGTGACCCCGGGACAATATCCGACAGTATTAAGACGACCCAGAGGACCCGTACATGCTTGACAGTATCATGGCGACACAGGTGACCCCGGGCATGCTTGACCGTATCACGGAGACACAGGTGACCCCGGGACAATATCCGACAGTATTAGGACGACCCAGTGGACCCGTACATGCTTGACAGTATCATGGCGACACAGGTGACCCCGGGACAATATCCGACAGTATTAAGACGACCCAGAGGACCCGTACATGCTTGACAGTATCACGGCGACACAGGTGACCCCGGGACAATATCCGACAGTATTGAGACGACCCAGTGGACCCGTACATGCTTGACAGTGTCACGGCGACACAGGTGACCCCGGGACAATATCCGACAGTATTAAGACGACCCAGTGGACCCGTACATGCTTGACAGTATCATGGCGACACAGGTGACCCCGGGACAATATCCGACAGTATTAAGACGACCCAGAGGACCCGTACATGCTTGACAGTATCATGGCGACACAGGTGACCCCGGGACAATATCCGACAGTATTAAGACGACCCAGTGGACCCGTACATGCTTGACAGTATCATGGCGACACAGGTGACCCCGGGACAATGTCCGACAGTATTAAGACGACCCAGTGGACCCGTACATGCTTGACAGTATCACGGCGACACAGGTGACCCCGGGACAATGTCCGACAGTATTAGGACGACCCAGTGGACCCGTACATGCTTGACAGTATCACGGCGACACAGGTGACCCCGGGACAATATCCGACAGTATTAAGACGACCCAGTGGACCCGTACATGCTTGACATTATCACGGCGACACAGGTGACCCCGGGACAATGTCCGACAGTATTAGGACGACCCAGTGGACCCGTACATGCTTGACAGTATCACGGCGACACAGGTGACCCCGGGACAATATCCGACAGTATTAAGACGACCCAGTGGACCCGTACATGCTTGACAGTATCACGGCGACACAGGTGACCCCGGGACAATATCCGACAGTATTAAGACGACCCAGTGGACCCGTACATGCTTGACAGTATCACGGCGACACAGGTGACCCCGGGACAATATCCAACAGTATTAAGACGACCCAGTGGACCCGTACATGCTTGACAGTATCACGGCGACACAGGTGACCCCGGGACAATATCCGACAGTATTAAGACGACCCAGTGGACCCGTACATGCTTGACAGTATCACGGCGACACAGGTGACCCCGGGACAATATCCAACAGTATTAAGACGACCCAGTGGACCCGTGCATGCTTGACAGTATCATGGCGACACAGGTGACCCCGGGACAATATCCAGCAGTAGTAAGACGACCCATATCCGACAGTATTAAGACGACCCAGAGGACCCGTACATGCTTGGCAGAATCACGGCGACACAGGTGACCCCGGGACAATATCCGACAGTATTAAGACGACCCAGTGGACCCGTACATGCTTGACAGTATCATGGCGACACAGGTGACCCCGGGCATGCTTGACAGTATCATGGAGACACAGCTGACCCCGGGACAATATCCGACAGTATTAAGACGACCCAGAGGACCCGTACATGCTTGACAGTATCATGGCGACACAGGTGACCCCGGGACAATATCCGACAGTATTAACACGACCCAGAGGACCCGTACATGCTTGACAGTATCACGGCGACACAGGTGACCCCGGGCATGCTTGACAGTATCATGGCGACACAGGTGACCCCGCGCCGGGACAATATCCGACAGTATCACGGCGACACACGGGTTCCCGTATATGCTTGACAGTATCACGGCGACACGGATGACCCCGGGCATGCTTGACAGTATCACGGCGACACATGGGTTCCCGAATTTGCTTGATAGTATCACAGCGACAAATGGCTTCCCTAATAGGCTTGACAGTATTAATGGGACCCTGTACATGTCTGCCAGATTCGCGAGCGAAACATATGACCGCGTAGACGACTGACAGCATCAATAGGGCCCGTACATGCTTGACAGAATGACGGCGACATAGGTGACGCCTTGCTTGACTGACAGGATCATGCGACACCTGGGATCCCCAATGTTTGTCATATTTTTGGATGTCCCTCCCCGTGTACATTGTTTTCATGACATTTCCGAAAGAACAAAATGCAAAAGCACTATATTTTCTATTATACAAGGTCCATTTTTTCCGGACCCTCCCCAAATATGTGCATAAATACATTCCCCTGATTCCCTATGACCCACCCATCCCTATTATAAATTACCAGACCCTTACCTGCTAGAAAGCATTGTCCTTCATGTCTTCATTTTAATGAGGATTGGTCTCATTGAAAAGAACTGATGGTCACATTCATCAAATCTGTTTGCGTCCCATCTCATGTGGGGCGGTCGGGTAGCCTAGTGGTTAAAGCGTCCGCTCGTCACGCTGAAGACCCGGGTTCGATTCTCGACATGGGTACAGTATGTGAAGCCCATTTCTAGTGTCCCCCGCCGTGATATTGCTGGAATATTTCTAAAAGCGGCGTAAAACCATACTCACTCACTCCCATCTCATGTGAACAGATGCGGAACATGTTATGCCGTACTTTGATATCAATCAACTATAGTGCTTTAAAGAAGTTCATACATTCATATTGTCATATATATTTTATTAAGTATGTTCTTTACTTATGCAGCATTGGCTACATTTAATACGTGTGATATCCTGTCTCATCTATTCTATAACAGCGTTCATGAATATTCACTGTACGTGGCGATGGAAATGAGTATGATCATGTTTGAATAATAAATGTATGAAAAGGGTGGGTTCGTGCGTTTGATGAGCTTGCCTGTATGTTCTCCGGTTTTCGATACGCGCAATACGTAAGGATGTACGGTCGTATTTAGCGTCACACAGAACCATAGACATACATAAGTTGTTTATCGCGGATGCATTGCATGAAAATGTTTCATTCGACCTGCACATGGATACCACTTCCCTTTAAACTGGTTATTAACCAAAAAGTGAAAATGGCAAATGTATCGTCAGCATCAACGTGACTGTTCCATAACTGGCCATTGCGAGGTGACATTCAGTGAAGCGACCAAAGTACCTTCAAGCTCCTTTAATTATTCAGGTGAAATATACGACCCATTTAGTTGCGAGAATAATGTGTGAAGTGTATGGATGCAATGTGTGGAAGAGGATTAATGAACTAAAAAACGAGTTTACAGAGGGTATCTTTAAAGCTGATACAAAATATCTGATGCACCGGCGTCGAAAAATATATGAATAATTTACCAATTTTCTCAGAAATAAATAAATAATATACAATTATACACAGCCACCACATAAGTGTCGTTACATTGGTCATCTGCTGTTTAAATGGGATACAAGCTGGCAGTGTACCGTTTGTCAGGGTAACGTAATGGTCTAATAGCCAAGTGTGCGTAAGCTGTTGTGTTAGAGTATTATTTAAAATTATTTTAAACTATTAAGTATTATTGTTTCTATCCCTACATCGTTTTAGAATTTATCATAAAACATTATACAGAAACAAGTCATTTGGTTATGTGTGCTTAACTTTTGAAATTGTCCAAATGTTACTTAGCGTTTCAATTCCTCACAATACTATGGGGCATTTCTTTAACATGGCTGATACCGATTTGACGCTTTTCATCGGTGCAGTCTCGTAGTTTGACATCACTGGTACTGCAGAGAAGACAGCTCATTGGTACCGCCTATAGTTATTTTACATGGACATATGACATATACACAAGCTTCAAATAACACAAGGGTGTTGATAATTCTCATTCACTTACCCCTTGTAATTCTTGTAAACAGGTAGACCAAATCCTTTCCTCCTCGAGCTTTTCCGGTACATCCGCAAAAACTTAAAATATGGGACTTCATCGTGTGTAGAAAAGGGGAAGCTTTCGTTGTTTATTCTATTCAGAACACGTAGAAAATTATCCAGTTGTTGGTCGGAATAGTTAGATTTGAACGTCCTTGGGTTCGAACTGACACTGTTGTTTTCTTGCACGTGTTTTAAAGGTTTCTCTGGATCTCGCTCGTTTGCCTTCTGTTGGGGCATATAGTTGAGTCTATAGGGTTCGTGGTCGCCCACCCCAACACCCTCCCCCTCCGGACTAGTGTCGCTGGTATAGTTGCTCTTGTTTAGTCTTTTCCGCCATGCAGGCAGGTGGGCCAAACCGGCCGAGTCCCCGAAGTCCTGTACGGGGTGGGGATGACTGCCCCCACCCCCCTCCGCGAGGGTGGCAGTGTTGGATAGTCTCAGGACAATCAAAGTGTTGAGACAGAGTACAAATGTACAGATGACACACACTATAACAGAAAGTTTCCGTCTACAACGAGGCATTGCTTGCTTCACATATCAACTCATGATGAATGGCTCTCTCCGTCTGTCTATATACCGACTCCACACCAGCAGTGGAGTGCAGCTAAACTCCTCACACCGCCACACTTCACACCGGACTGACAAGCACGGCGTATTCTCCGCTCAGGGTCAACCTACCAGAGTCACTCGAGTGGAGCTTCTCTACTCGCCTCAGTGGCTTGCTCTCTCTCTCATCAGGGTAACCGCTCGGCTCGCAGCGCTCCCAGAACTTCTCTGGATGTTGATCTGTGAAGGAAAAACGAAAGAGCGTGTTTGAAGACTTACTAGGTCAGTAGCTATGGTTAATGTTTACACAGTTAGCCGACCCCGCGAGCAAGCCTCACTGATAAATACAGACAACCAAGAGATAAACCGGTTTGTGTCAAACAACATCATATAATGCAAGATTAGGCCACTTGGGGGGATATAAAACATTTTTTGCACATTTAAGGTTCTACTTAAACTTATAACCGAGGAGAAACGTATTTGCTAGTTCGACAAGGAAGAACATAAACTACACCCACTTGAACCTGGGGTTGATTTGTAATGACATTTGAAACTCGAGTATCCCCTTGAAATACACAGCCGCATACTGCGTTTGTTTGATGGATTTATCAGTAAAGCCCATTCATAAATAAGTGTAATCAGGCATATTTTTAGTTCACTAGAGTGTGAATATATATGCATTGTAAATCATTATGTGTATACCAGCAAAAAACGTTCAGAAAGAAACCACGTGGTTTCTCGAAACGCTTTCACGGGAAATTCCGCGATCTCTTGGTACACAACAAATTTCAAAATGATTACACTTCACGTTCAACAGCTGATTTGATTCCGGCTTGGGTAAACTCATCCAAATATCCACCCTCCGGACTACAGGCGGGGGACTGATTAAAGTTAAGTGCTGATTTGGATTATTATTATTTTTTATCTAAGTCAGTTAGGCCAGGAGTGACCTCTGATCGCTCTATTGATAAGGTATAATTACCACGTGAACCAGGGAATGTTTTAATGTAATGCGTGATGTATGATTTAGAATACAAGCAGCATTGAAAAACAATATTTTCTCCTGCACTACAATTATTTTTTATGTATTTGTATTAAAATGTTTAGGGTTTTTTTAATATGAATTATACAAACAAACTGGAATATCATAATAAACGTCTATTTACTCAAGTAAAACAGACACAACAGCTAAACAATGGAACGCTGTTGAAAGGTAATTTTAATTCTCTGTTTCTACAGTGGTAAAAATAACATTGTTTGCCCTTTCAATATTCCTAGGCTTCAGTTCACGCTCAATATTTACTCAGTCGGCTGGACATTGTTTATGTTTGATTGAATTTAGCATCTTGCGGATTGACGCAGGTTTTTTTATGAATACAGAATCAAAAGAAAAATCATTTCAACAAGAAACCTCATCGCCGTCATTACAACACTAGAAAACAAAACTGTGTGATCTAGGATTTATGTATACGTAACACAGTTCGTGTTAATATTGGCTGACATGTTAATAGGTGAAATGTTCTAAATTTGTATACATAAAGGATCGTGTTTGTACCTCAACATTATTACCTTATGTCAAAACAATGACTATTCCTGGCCATTTACTTGCTGTGGTTTACAGCTATACAGTCGAAAAAAGTTAATTTTAAATAAAATTAAAAATTAATTTTAACATACACACCCCATCCCTCTGGATCCTCATATGAAATCGCAAGTCCAATTTGAACAGATAAATTAACCCATATACTGATGGGTTCAATACCTGTAACGTTGTTATAGACCTACCGATTATGTTCAAACTCGCACCCGGGTGAAGGTACGCTTAGACAGTCCCGAAAACATGTGTGAATTTCAAAGATTACGAAGATTTAAATTACCTGTTATTCCTTTCATATACACGAGGATATCTAATGGTCGTTGTTATACCCAAATACAAATTGGTATATCAAGGCAAGCCGATTTCTTCTTCTTCATCCAAGATTCGTAAGTTAACGCAGGAAAACATCCGATTGTATATCCATATCGCTATATACATGCATCACGTTACATATCCACATCGCTATATACATACATTACGTGACACATTTCAGTGTACATAACTGGCTTCTCCACTCCAGTGTAATTACATCCTAATCCACCCAACTGTATAAACACTGTCTCATACCTGTTAATATGTGCGTCAGCCATACTCTGTACATCACTTGTTTGATACACCGAAACGTCGCTCCTACTTGCGAGAAAGAACTTGTTCATCCATATGTCTCATCCTTACTTAATTCAGTGATCACACGAAATATTTCGATTGTTTCATATCCGAGCTCACAGGGTGTTTGAATACGGGGTAATGGCGGTCGCGAACTGCAGTTCAAAATATCTTCTTACAAATCGACAAATTTCAACAAAAACACGACTTGGAGGGAAAAAACCCCAGACGAAATAAAATTATATGGAGGATTTCAACGGAGTCGCTCAAACTGCGCGAAGCATGACTGTCTGCATTGGTCGACCTTTCAGCCTGGTGGCCGAGCAACGAGAAGACGTGGGATAATTTTGTCGAGGGTCTGGAGTGAAAAGAACACTCACAATGGTTATTTAAGCGTTGATTATGGAAACTTTATGCTCGAGTGCCCCCCTAGAAAGAATCCGAGGAGAATTTTCAAAAGATACGAATTGACAAACTAATTACACTCAGCCGCCATCCAATCAGAGGCCGGATTAAGTCTGAAATCCGACTTCACGCCGTCTTTGTGCACGCTCTTCCTTTGGAATCGGAGGCTGCATCTTGGTCGGGATTCAGCTCAAACTGAAAGCAATTTCTGCCAGGTCGTGGTTTTAATTAACATCAGCTTGTACATCATGCCTGTCTAATACCAGATTTGAAAGAAATTACTACAATGTCAGTTCTTTAGCAAGGGGGGTAACCGGAGATCGGCTGTAACCTGATCTCCACGTAATCAGAGTAATCGCAGTGAAGGAGGTCGAAGTTGTGAGCTACTCCAACATCAAAAGAGTTATCTCCCGTGATTCAGGCCTTCCCAAGCACTCTGTTACCCGCATAACGGCGTCCTTCTTTTACGTACAACCTATCGAATATTTTTTTTAAATATTAATATACAGTATACACTTATTGTAGATTGCGCCACACTCGAATGAACTCTTAATGGTAGACACACAAGATGTAGGCCACTAACGCAGATGAGTAGGTGTTCTTCTTCGTCGGAACGATTTAATTAAATATTAATGTGAACACACGATACAGACGCTTAATTAGGGTCCAATCATTTAATATTCGGGGATTGAGGGGGGAGGGGGGGTACTCCGCCAGAATGTCAAATGAACATGCTGTCGCCAACATTCCCGAATCAATAGGTGACCGTCTCCGTGGTCTAGTGGATAGTGTCTGCCGGGAGAGCGCAAGGTCGATGCACCGTTTCTTTGGCCGCGTAATAACAATCTGAAGACGTTATATGATGCTTATTCTTATACTTAGTCTGAGTGGGGGTCCATATTTAAACCAAGGCACAGTATTTCAGTGGGCTTGCACTATAAACCTGGTATTAGTCCGTACAACTAGTACAAGCACACACACAAAAACACACGCACGCACGCGCGCGTTCTCGCGCGCGTCGCTATACAAATGAAATAACCTCTCTCAGTACAATCCTCTTCTCCCCTTTGATTCCCAAGAATCTCAGGACGCAACAAGCTATGCATTGTCCACTTGACAAGTTATGTAGTTATGCTACAAAACTGGTGTTCACTCACAAGTGTAACACACTTACAAAATTAAGACAAACACACTCTTGAACACTTACGCTTCTTAAAAAAACATAAACCACTTCCCTCAGAGTATAACAGATCAATACAATCTACACTCGCTATACTTGAGATATTTAATGTAATATTGAGTATGTGAATTAATGAGTCTCGTGCTGCAGTTACAGCAGCAGCCTAGTTGGTGGTGTAACGATTGATCTAGACTTGCACAAGTCTATAAGGAAATGATTATTACTTTCAATCTTAATTCCTAGATTATACAAATAACAACAACATGTTTTCCCAATAAAAGACTAGCGTACTGTCGGCGTATCTATTATTAGGATATAATTATAATACATCCATGGATTATCAATCGGTACAGCCTTGGGACAAGGATTGATGATGGTACTATCGCTACATCGATGCCAAGGCAAAATGTCAATGGTTGAGATCGATGCCACACTACACTATCGATAGTTTCGCTAGAAGCTATACGAATTAATACTGACGACTATATTTGAAGTGGAATGCGTGTGCTTATTCTGTCCGGAAACAGCACGGAATTCAATATAATAAGTCACTAGTACAGTTGGGTTGTTTAAATTGAATTTACATATTTGCCTAAATAACAGTTCCATGTAACACGTACGTGTAAATAGATTCATCGATTCATAAAGATTCAAATTTGGCGTTAACAGAAATTGGTGCCAGGGACCAACCAAACATTGTCAGTCAATTCTTGAAGGTGGCACCATGGGACTAATGCAACTTGCTTCTCCCTGTATCATCTTAAAATGCTCCTCGCCTTTACAATAAACAGACCACCAAAGGTATAGCCATGCCACCAAGGCTTTTTAGGTATTAATTGCAAACCATTGAATTATATCCATTGACACAATAATTGTAAACTCATTTTCCAAAATTAATAATCATCTGATGGGGATAAATATCTAGAAAGGTGGTATGCTAAATAAACCAAAGCCTTACTCACCCAACACCAACGGCAGCTCGTTCAGAATATATAACAGTATGTAGTTGTGTCTTATAGATTGGTTCAAAGAGTAATTCCTCATAGTGGAACTCAACGGTTCAATACCCTGATCCAGGAAGTGAATGGAATCGATAATGGTATTGTCATAGCTATGGTGCATTCGCGTATCTCTGTTCTGTTCCGCTGGCGGAACAATGGAATCCTACAAGATATCGGGAGAATCTGCAAACTGTCTCAGATTAACTATAACGTGGCAGAGAAACAAAATTTCCGGGTTTTCAGAAACTGTAGATGAAAAATGACGTCACGCGGGTATAACCAAACAGTGGTCGTTTGTTCGCAGTTGTGCATCAATATAAGAATTTGTGTCGATTTGCAATTTAGTTTGAATAGTCTAGGCTGGGAGGTCGAAATACCAGTGGTGGCTTCATCGACAACGACGCGAGGAGCCATTCGTGCTTTAGTATTTTATTGTGTGAACTATGCTGGC